TTTGAGTTAGGGGGTATAATCAAACCTTATACAAATCGAATACTTTATTCTTGATTTTTTAACCGAGAAAAATAATGTCATTTGATATTGCTGTACTGTAGCTTAAAATTCATTATTTAGCACGCCATTATTGACTTTCTCTTTAGTTTGCATAATCTATGCATTCTTTTTAGCACTTTGCATAATCTATGCATTCTTTTGCGTTTCATTCAAAGGCCATGTATAAGAAAAAGATTATAATTTCTGACGATGCGTTTTAGCTTTTTTATACCAAAATATTCAGGGCCGGACGCACATATGTTTGAGTTAGGTGGCACAATAAAACACTGTACAAATCGAATACTTTATTCTTGATTTTTTAATAATTCATACTTAACCAGAGAAAATGTTGATTTACGTATAAAAAATATTTCTTCATTAATACTTTGTTATTCATTTTTATCCATTTGATTTCGAACAGTCGTTTTATTAATTTTTTTGCTCATCACAAGAAAATGCATATTTACGATTTATAGTATATTTGATAACAAACAACCAATTCAAGTAATCGAAAGGAAAGTCATATAACCAATATTCAGTACTAATAATCAATCAAATAAATACAATCCGTTAAATATAAGTCAAATTTGATATAATACACATTCTATATACAAAATTTGATAGAAGAAAATGTAAATTTAGGTTCTAATTAGTTGACAATTTGATTGGAAAGTGAAAATTTGTAGTAAATGTGATAATTTGTAAAGAAATTATAAACAAATTTTAAAAAATTAGAATGTTTAAGATTTTGGTAAAAGGGGTGAGGGAGAGTCTAAGACAGCAAGAGAAAGCAAGAAAAAATTCAAATTTATTATGATTTTGCCCCTATTTGGTCGGATTAAAATCATATTTTTAATAAATTTTCATAAAAGTTAGAAAATTATGGATTCCAAAAATATATTATTAAAATTGAGTTAACTTCAGTTTAGATTAAAATTTAGATTTTAATCGATACCAAACAGAAGTATACATATATATAAAGGCTTAAAAGTTGGGGGGTCTTCACCCCTCGGGGCCTGCTAGTGCATATTATGCCCCCGTTTGACCCCCATCATTTCAAATTATAAGTTTTGTAATAGTATTTTTTTGGACAATGTGCGCTTGAAAAAAAAATTAAAAGTTTTTTATTTACGTGTAATATTATTTTATGAAAGATTGTGTGATTAAAAATAGAATAAAGCTATGTGTACACAATTTTTTACACAATATTTTACACCTCGTGGGCCCCCTCCATGTGAGGCGGGTGTAAAACATTGCGTAAGAAATGAGGTGTACACATAGCACCACTCCTGAAAATAAAAGAGAAAAATAATTATTTTGGATAATGGGGGCCAAACGGGATCTATAAATGCCCACCAGATTCAGCTTTATTTCCACACAGCACAATCTTTCTTACACTAGCTAGGGTTTTGATTAGCATATTTATTGGTACCATGTCAGACATATATGTAGAGCATTCGATAAGATCTTCACCCGAAAAGTTTTATGAATTTTTCAAATGCTGTATGAGTAATCTCATCTCCATGTATCCTGAACGTTTCAAAAATGTTAAAATTACTGGTGGAGTGGACGGTAGTGTTGGTTGTGTCAAGCTGTGGGACTATTTTGCTGAAGGTATGTTATTGTGTCAAGATCTTATATTTATTTATTTACAAAATACAGTCGAGATTTATGTGTAGAAGAAACATTGCGACACACTGCCAGTCTATTATGGATGGAAAAATATATCAATTTAACATAAATTAATTCTGATCAATCCCATATTAGTATTTTTCATAGGTGGTCCAACCCACCTGTCACCTCCGCCCCGCCTGTTTTACGTCTCCAGTCTTGATGCACACATGTATATATTTTCTCTTGTATATGGCAGGAGGGACTCTACAGAGCATTGAACTGGTGGCTGATAGAATAGATGATAGAGAAAGATCCATAACTTACAAAGCCCAAGGAGGAAGTATTATTGGGGAGCAAGGCTATACACAGTTTCAGTTCACAATTGCTCCTCGCGTTGGGGTTGTCCGTTGGACTGTTCATTATGAGAAAGGTTCTAGTTCACAGAAGAATCCAAGAGACGCTACTCGGTTCGCAGTTCAAGTAACTGAAATGGTGGACTCTAGTCTTGTGTGACCCATTAAGCGTGGAACTGTTGTTCATCAATAAATGCTAAGACCATCTCCCATTTGGTTTTTGGAGATAATGTGGTGTTGTGCAAACTTTTATATTGCGTTTTTCAGTTTAAAATACAATATAAAAGCATGGTGTGTTTGTTATGAATAAGACCATCTCCCGTTTGGTTTTTGTAGACAATGTTGTGATGTGCAAACTTTTATATTGTGTTTTTCAGTTTAAAATAAAACTTGGGTGTAAAAATGCAAATTTATTAGAAAAAACAGTAATCTTATCATTTTTTTCTTAGTCGGTCACGAGAACGCTACAATAAATTTATACTTTCCCTACAAAATTTCTATTGACAAATTGAGATTTGTTACATTTGTTCACTTTTCCCCACAAAAATAACAATTTTTAGGGCTATCATTGGCTTCAAAATTTTCGATAATGGGAGGACTTGTGTCCACAAGAATTTATATTTTTTCCCGACAAAAAAATTGAAGGGCAAGATATATTTTTTTACGACAAAATATTTGACCTAGTTGTAGGCGAATAATTAGCGAGAATCTTTTTCAATTCTAATCTTTATTTTTAGCCCCTACAAAATTTATATTTGAAGTGAAAAGATAATTGAAATGAAAAAGAGATAATTTTTTTTTTCCTTTTCATTTCTTTTCTAAAACACGTTCTCCTCCTCTTTTTCTTTCTTTTTTTTCTTTCTGAGTTAATTAAACGAGTGGCAACTCAACTTTACGCATAGTTACTACTTTCTTACCGAAAATTAAACGATTACTCAATGCTCATTGAAAATATTCATTAGATTACTCATCAATTACCATAGTCAATTTCATTTGTACATGTAGACAAATATTTAGACGTGGCATACTGAATCATCGCCATGTCATTAGAAATTTATATTTTATAAAAAAAAAAAGTGAAATTGAAATTGAAATTTCCTCCAAATCACCTTCCTTCTTCCCAAATCCCCCAAGAAGTTTAAATCAGAAAATTCAGATTACAATAAGCAGAACGGTTTTTCTATTTTGGCCTCTTAGAGATCTTTCATTCCAAAACCACATGATGGGCATGACTGTGCCGTCATCTAGTGCAATTTCAGTTTCAACGTCAGACTTGCCTCCCGGGGATATATGGGCCGACCCATGTTTTGGGTTTACAGTTAAAACTCTCACCGGCGAAGTTCCAATGGCTAGTAATTCTCGTGTTCAGAATTACTAACACCAGCCACTCGTCTCATCAAAAATCAGTAAAATTAATCAATCACTTTCTTCCCCAAAATGAATTTTTTTGAATTCATGCTCTGATCAACAAAATTGGGGATGTGAATTATGAACCATCCAAAATTAATGCCACAATTTCATTTACAGCCGAGAAGAAGTATGTTTTCAAATGTATATATGTACAATTCAAACTTATTTCCGTTCCTCAATAATCTTGCGTATGCGATTATTTAGTTAAATAAAGTCGAGCAACCTAAATTATTTTTGGGGATGTGAATTATGAACCAAGGATGTGAAATTGGGGGTGATGTGATTTGAGGAAGAAAGTGATATGGGGAAGAAGGAAGGTGATTTGGAGGAGATTTCAATTTCATTTTTTTTTTTAATAAAATACAATTTTTTTGATTATATGGCGCCACATCATTTCTTAATATGCCACATATAGATATTTGTCCACACGTAATGAAATTGGTTACAGTGATTGATGGGTAATCTAATGAATATTTTGATGGGAATTGAGTAACCTTTTAATTTACGGTGAGCAACTAGTGTTAGGTTTTTAATGTAATTGCCAAGTCTGCGAACAAATAGGACTAGAATTAGTATGCTATAAAGGAGTAAGTTGCAAATATTATAAATTGAGTTGTATAGGTCTAGGGTTTGAGAATGAAAGAAGGAAAAAACGGCACCACAATTTTGCTTGAATGTCGCTCTGACTTTGTTCGAGTGGCAGAAATTGAAACATAGTCGCCCGCTTGCCGCCTTGCCTCCGCTCGAGCAACAACCGTCGCTCGCGTGTCGCTAAACTCTCGCTCGAGCGATAGGGTTATCCGGAGAATCGCAAAAGAAATGGATGTATTTATAGGTTCTGATAGGAGGCGAGAACCGTCAAATTGTGTCAATACTAATATCGATCATTCATACTATTCCTTATGATCACAACTATTGAATATTAACACGCATCTGACCGAGTTTCAAAATGGACAGACGAGATTACACGTGATCAACACGCGCAGATAAATGCACGAAGGACATTAACCTAGAAACACGCAAATAAGCCCTGTAGCGCACAGAAAATTGTAAAAATCATAGCATGTCCTCTCAATATAACTCACGTCAGTTCCAACAAATAAAGAGAAATATACAGAAATAATGACATATATTAGCTCACAATTTATTAAAAATGCAACAAATTCTAGATTTAGCCATGTTTGGTCCCATTTAAATTATAATT